AGACAAAACTGATGTGGAAGAGTTGTTGCTAGTGGACGTAGAGCAAGGGTTTAAGTAACCATCACTGCAGTTCAATGACTGCCATAAAAAGCATCTTGCTTGCAGAATCAACTTTAGCATTCTGTTCCTGTCCTTCAAAAGACACATTTAATCTCTGGAAGTCCAAAAAACAGATTTTCAGCACTTTCTGAGATGAGCAAGAATCCTGTCTTGCTAATTCTCCACTATGTTTGTTTAATTTTGAAGGAATAATCTTTTAATGACTTAGTACCATTCAGCCTCCTTCCCACCCGCTGCCCCACTCCATGGGCTGTCAAGGCATCTGAATAGAGCCTGGGGCCTCAGATTCTGCAAGATTTCAAGCTTAGGGATTTTAGAAACATCCAGGAAGAGCTGTGACCTGGACTCTTGCAGAACAGTTAGTCTCCCTTTGCCTCTTAAGGGTGTAGGAGGCTTTCCAGTGCCAGCTGCCACCAGCAGTCCAGGCATGCTGATCTGACACTCCTGTCACCTCCTAAAGTCTCCCTCCTATAGTCTGGGAACCCCTCTGAAGCTACATCTTTGCAAGCTTTCAAATTTAGCTTCCAGAGGATCAAGACAGCCAAAACAAGTGAATGGTTTCTTACAAAGTGTGTGCTACACTTAAAAGAAAAATAAATCCACATTACTTGGACACATCTCTACAAGAATATCAACTACCTGCAGGCAAAATGTCTTCCCTGTACTCCATTTCCTCACGACTACAGGACAATCCAGTCACTCTCTACCTCACTGTTCCTGCTTAATCTTCCTGGCAGCAAATGACTGCTCCTACAGCCTCTCAAGAGAGGTATCTGAAACCAACCTAGACTTAGAATCCTCTTTCAGGGACAACTTCAAAGTACCACAAGGCAACTTGTGGTTTAGCAAAAGTCATAACACTCTCAAATTAACTGGAGAAAAATTAATTCCCTGTGCTACAGCCATCTTCCTGGTGTAAACTCCCCTGCACTGGAGCCCTCTTGACAGCTCTCCTCCTGGTAAGATCCAACTCTTGCAGCCAACAGAGGAACAAATACAATGAAGTGCTCAAGCTCTAAGCTGCATCCCAGAGCACCACTGCACAACAAACAACACAGTATAGTTTGCAGCAAGACCCCCCCTGGCAAGTTTCCATTCCACAGACCTCCTAAATCAAGTACATTTACAGGGATATTTTTAGTTCCCCCGCTTCCATTACTGATCATCATGACTAATCCCAATAACAAGGGGAACACCCAAATGCACCTCAGGATTAAGATTTTGTCTGTATTTTCAGTTTCAGGACTGCTCACATCTCAGATCTGCTCCTGTCCCAAATATCCCTTAAGGCTCTGCTGCCCATCAGCTATTCCTTACCTTCCTTAATCACACATCACATTTCCTCTCCACCCTTAACAGCATTTCCACAGTACTTTTGTTTTCCAGCTACCATCTTCAGCAGTGTGGCTTTCAGTTAAATCTTTGTTTAATATTAAAGCCCTTTTCAAATATTTAATATGAAATTAACTTGAATCCAACTGGGGAGAAAACAGAAGGATACACTGGTTTAGCAAAGTATTATTTCAGACAAGTAAAAGACACTGAATAAAGATTTTTAAAAGGAGCAACCCAAGAAATCTTCTATAAACTGAAAAAAAAAAAGAAACACAAGGATGAGAAATTTTGTATACTGGACAACTTGTGGTTGGATCACAGGCAAAGTAAATCAGGACCTTGATGACAAAATTTCAACCCCAAATATTTTTCTTTCTACTGCTGTAAAACTCCATGAGATAACTGGCAAAGGCAATTTTCCACAAATCTGTAGCACAAAAGTGTACACTTTGAATATTGAACTGACATATTAGAGATTATTAACCTTTCCCAACAATACAAACTCTCCATAGAAACTGAGAAATCACAAAGGATAAGTCCAGCTAACTAGTGGAACATCTCAGGAGAGCTAAACCCATCACCCATCTCCAAGTACTTACCACAACAACATTCCTGTAAAAAATTCCACAGCACATAATTCCAACACAAGCTCTCGCTCAGAAAATGCTGGTAATGAGAAATCAAACAGATGAAAGGCTACTGTTAATTGAGTGTTTAAATTGGTCATCCTGCCTCCTGTGACCTGTATCTAAAACCCTCCTTAAAAGTTCAGGAGTTAAACTTAAGTAGATATTATGTCAGATTGGCTACGTTACAATATTTATGTTTTAAGCAGTAATGATATGTATTAAAATCTCAGTAGCTACAGGCAATGAATCTGATCTTTACTGCAGCTTCCACAGTAGACTAATTACATGAATTCAATGAACATACGCAAGGTTAAAACTTCCATTACTCCAAAGCATAACCCTGAAAAGGACATGTAGCCTCTTTATCCCCTCACTGATATCAGCACCAAGAGGATTTCCTAAGAGGGTGGGACTGTTGACAGTACTGGCCTAAGACATCAACCTCTACTGCCCAGCAGCCAAGAGCCTGTCCAGGTCAACACTCTGCCTTTGAAGGATGTAGTACTTTGGTGTTCTCCATGTGGAAGAAGCCAGGAGGGTCCCTGCTTCCGAGGGTTAGAAATATGGAGAGGGATGCTAAGCTGATGTATCCTGCTCTTTCTTACTGATTCCAGACTGCAGTCCAGGTTGCTAAACCTACCCTCCAAGGCTGGTCCCAGAGGGTCTCTGGGTCTCAGCCATAGTTTACCTGTGTTTTTGCACCTGCACAACCCTTGATTATCAAACCCTTATTACAAACTAATGAACTCTGCAAAGTGCCTCATTCTCCATGTACTTCACCACAGTTGAACTTAACAGCAAGCAAGCTTGTTTGAGAGCGATTGGAAAGAAGAGTTTGGCAGGGACTTGTCTCATGGGTTATTTTCCAGGTTCCCCAAACGGTGGGGAAGAGGAGGAAAGCTCCTTATCTGTTCTCCTAATTCTCCAAATGCAAAGGTGTCTTTCTCGTGTTCCCTTGACATGTTCATTTCAAGAACTCATACTTAGCTGTCGTGTCAGCAACAACTCAAAGCAGAAACTTAATTCAGCTAAAATGTAAAAAGAGATCCGCTTGCAGAAAGATCCCTCTTTCCATAGACAGTAAGAGACTCTTTCACTCCATCTTCAACAAACAGATTGGCTTGCCACTCAAAAGCACTGTACCAATCCAACTGTTCCCACAAAACAAGCCCAGAACATCTGCATCTTTGTAGTACTGAAGTAATGAGTTTGACACACTCTGGCCAAGTCTGCCACACTGAACAAGTCTCCTCTCCACCAACACTGCAAGCTGCTGTTATGCAGATCAGAACAGTCAGCTTCCCCAGATAAGGTAGTTCCTTCCTGGAAATGGAAGACAGAGCTGCTTTATCTCAGGAAAGGGAAGATAAAAGGTCACTCTTCAATAAGTGGCAAAGTTCTCACCTTGAAAGCTTTGCCCCTTGATTGACATAGAACAACCAAGGTCATGGAACTTTTAATCAGATGCCTGCATAATTACTAAATCGTTATTAATTATATCAGAGAGCCAAGACCTCAGAGGAGAGGCAAAGTAAACAAAGAATCCAATGAAGCCTCCTCTGTTGTTGGAGAAAATTGGTAATTAAAAGTCATGAGTGCACCAAAGGATGAGGGAACAGCATCACAGTCACTGTTCAGGACTCAGGAGTGACTTGCATACAAAACAGCAGGCTCATCTCCCTGGGGAAATTACAGGGTACTGCATTACAAAGCAGTGAGGAGGGACAAAAAGGAAATAAAAGATAGAGAAAGGCCACTCCTGTCTTATCAACAGCTTTATTTGCCCCACAGAGAGGGACAGCACTGCCAACCAGCCCCAAGGTTGAGAGGTGTTTCCATATGTTTCTGGCAGCTCCAGAAAGCCTTCTCTCAGCCTCGTATCATGAAGGGTTCCAATACTGTGCAGTGCACAAAAGAATGACACCTTGTCCTCAACCCAATCCAGCCCACACACAGCCCTTGCCCAGAAGCCCCTGCCAAAGACTATTCCAGTATAAAGCCTTTATTTCCCTCAATGTCCTGAGTTCAGCCCTAGCGACTACTCTCTCCCCAGAGGCTGCCTTTCAAAATATCTCTATGAAAAACTGAAGAATTTCACTCTATCCTTAAAAAAAACCCCAAAACTCAAAAGAAGACAATGTCACGGTCCTCCTCACACCATAATAAATCAAACTAGGTAGTCATGATCCCCCCTGAAACCAAAGCAAGTGTTTTGCTAATCAGGCTATGAGAAGACAAAGGCTGATCTGTTCCCATACCAATAATATAATGCCATCTCAGAGCACTGAGACATCAAAGATGGTATTGGATGGAAAAAGGCAGCATATTATCCACCACCATTTGCAGGCAAACACAAGAATCTCTCTGCTCTGCTATATAGGCAGTCTTATAGACCCAACCCCAAAGATGACCATATGCAAGACATGCCAAGACTGGGCCAAACCCCTGAAGAAATGGGTTCAGATGTATAATGAGACTGTGGCGAGAAGAATACTCTCATGCACTCAGCCCTCTCGACACACAAAAAGTGCAAAATACCAGAAGCCCAAAGAGAACAGTTTGTAAGTCCCAGAGATCAGAACAAAGAGATGTTTTCTACTTCACTGCTTCAAGCACAATGATTCAAAAAGACATATCTTCAAGATACTCTCAATAACAAAGCCTCCCCTTTAAAACATGAGCAAGAAGGAATAAAGGATAATGGCACCAGAAGCAATAATGCAATTTGTGGGACTCTACCACTGAATAAAAATTAATAACCAACAAGCTCTGGCTAACTGCAGCCATTTCATTATGCCTCACTTTGACAGACCTGAATCCAATAAACTTTTATTGAAGTGCATCTGGTCTTTTTTATCCCTTTTCTGACCTTCCATTGCTTGCCACTGCAATGAACTTTCACTGCTGCAACCTTATCACGGCACTGTTTCATACTGCTGAATTCAAGGCACCCAACCCCCTGTGAGAGTACTTTACCTGTTGAATATATCACCAGACACCTTTTGCAGGTACTGAAGTGCATCTGCCACCTGCTGAACAGCCTCCTCCCTGCGTAAGTCCGGTTGGATCAGGGGGACTGAGTAAGTCTGCCCCTCCAAAAAGTGCTTCTGGGCTACTGCAGCCATTGTACCTAAAGGAAAGAGCAAAGAGATCATTATTAAACACACCTCCATTTTATCACAGCATTTATTCAGGGACTTCCACTTTCTGCTCCCCTAATTATTTAAGGAAAGCATTTGCAACAGAACTGGTGAGCTGTGGAGAACAGCACAAGGTAGTAAGGTCGACATATTGGATTTTTAATAAATTCATGACAGCCGCAGTGAGGTGGAAGTCTCTTGCTTATCTGAATGCTCTTGGGAACCATAATTTTATTTTTTGCATGCTACTTAACAAATCTCTGCTCAGTACTGTGCTGAAAACAAAGACCACACTTCAAAGCAAAGTCAGTTCAGGGTGGCAATAAGACTCATCAGAAACTGCTCTGTCCCCTCCTCCCATCCTCATATTCCCTGTGGATATGTTCCAGGTCATTCAGCCTTATTGGCAAAATGCAGTATTTCATCTTACACTTCTGCTCCATGAAACACAACCACCACTTCCTTCCAGGAAGAGCAGCCATGAAATTACAAGGCATGCAAGTGCACACACCCCCTTGCTCCAAGTAGACTAATGGGAGTTCTTCCATTCTGACACTCCCAGGAGCTGTTTGCTGCTTCTGGTGGCTGGATTTTTCCTTAGTAACTATCTTAAAACAAGCCTCCTTATTTTAGGATCCTTTTAGGTACAAAACCTAAATGGTCACTGACACATCTCAGTTGTGTGCAACACATGCACCAGAGCAGTACATGTGCTCTCAGATGCAGCTGGGTCCAAACCACTGCTCTGTAGCTCAGCCAAGAGAAAGCCATGCATCACTCATGTTACCATCCTGACAGCCTTGCTCACCTCTCTCTCAGCAACTCCCAAAAAATCTGCCTCCCATGGTTCTACTCACAAAAATCACAAAAACATTCCCAGGACATGAAGGAGGGTAAAGAGAAAAAAACTGAATTTCTCTAAGCACATTAGAAATTGCAAACTCACAAATACATCTTTGTTAGGACAGTCCAAAGAATGAACAGAGTAGAGTATCCATACAGTTTTCTAACCCAAACTCTACTGCTAGGTCTACACAACTCTCTTCAAACTTGTTTTTTCTGTGTCTTCTCACTCAGGCTGTAAAACCCCCACAGATTACAGGTGCTCATTACAGGGTTTCATCACACAGAGTGCTGTACATTGGTATAAGAAAGTATTCATCAAGTTGAGGAGAAGCAAAACAAAGAAGGATCAAAAAGTAAGGCATCAGAAACAGACGGGGATATCTCAGGACACACCACATTCCCTGTGTGATACCTGGAGTTCTGCAGGAGCTAATCCAGAGAGCACTGCTGTGTGCAACCTGTATTCCTGCCTGTATGCTAGGACAGACTAACACAGAAACACACCCCACACTGGAGAAATTCACAGAACAGGAGCCTGAAGAGACAGTCACAACATAAAACAACAGTTTAATATGTGAAAATTAGAGGAGTCTTCACTCATTCTTTAAATCCTCTCTCTTGCCTCACAAAATGAAAAGATAACAGATTAGACTTGCCTGCAGCCATTCCTGTACATTTAAGAAACACCATCCACCCTCTCCAAATTTGTCCTTCCTGATCCTACCGCAGCAGGGTAGGGAAAGACTTTCTGTAAATGTGATGCGGCTGTTATTTTAAGGGCGATTTTTTTGGGACGCGGGGTTTTTTGGGTTGTTTTGGGGTTTTTTTGGGTGTTTAATAATGAATCACATGAGATTTAAGGACACCTAGTAGCCTTTTTGCAGTTAAATTCGCAAAACCAAGCCTAGCCAGCAGAAGAGCTGGCTCTGCTGCAGGAAGCCTAGACCTATTCTGTTCCATTTCATGCATCGCTGGCAGCCAGACTCTGTATCCGCACTCTTTAGCGGCAATGTTTGCACACTGATTAGTCTTCTTGACTGGGCCTACTCAGCAGACAGGAAATTATTATTTAGAGCTGTAAAGCACACAAGTTAATCAGAGAGGAGCACAGCTAATTTTGAGACAGCATTTTTTTTGATCTGCTGACCACAATCGAGCTCGAATCCTCTTCCTTTCAAACCTCCTATCTGACTGTCAAGGCGGAACAAAGCGAGTACACAAGAGAGCGAGTGCACGGTGATGAGTTACTCTGGCTCCAGCAGCAAAACGAGTTTATGATCCTCCCTTGCCACTGGTCACAACTCTTCCATTGCATCAATGCTGCTCATGTTGGGGATGCCTATTTTTAGCTCGGATCAGTTCAATGACCCAATTTGCTGCAGCCAGATAAACAGCTGTAATTGCCCAGTCATGAAGCGGAGTGGGAAGCAGGGGCAAAAAGGGGACTTCTAAAACTTGCTTCATTATCGAAACCATTCCTGTGCAATGGTAATCCTGAGAAAGCCAAGCTTTTCACCTCTTGAGGCCAGATGAGATTATACATGATCTTTCAGACTCTCACCAATCCTAATTCTCCCAGTGACCTTTCTAAAGCCAAGCTCAGTTCAGCTGCTGACTGACAGATGCTCACACATGGAAGCAGCACATCCATAGCTACTACCAAACTGTTTCTTTCCCTGCAATCAGAAGCTACAGACTGTCCTCCAGGTCCCACTGCCCCCCTGCAAACAGAGGAGCACACAGCAGCGGGCAAAACAGGAAAATCCCTGTGTGCTCCTGCTCACACTGTCAGAGTTCATCTGACAGTAAACTTCAGCTTCACAGGTTCTCAATGCAGCCTCTCAGCTGAGCTCCAGATTCTCACCTTTCCTAAAAAAAAACACATTGGAGAAATGTGGCAGACTCTTTGGGAACTGCTGTAAGAGACAAATACAAGAGATAATTCTTTCTGTGCAAGGAAACGAGCTGGAGATTTATAGCAAGAAGAGGAAAAACAGCAACACCTGAATGACTAGGCTCAGTCCAGAATGCTGGAATTATGGCAGCTGACATAAAATACTCAGATGCTACAGTGAGAGAGGGGCACATGTGCCCAAAGCAAGTATGATTCACAAGAGCAGATGTCAGATCACTCAAGAGATTTAATCATTAGTGGTGTGACCACCTACGGGTCAGAAGAAACAGCAATACAGAGCTTTTTTTTTTTTTTGGTGATCAAAGAGGCTCTGGAAAAAAGCTGCAGCATCTGGGGCTCCATCCTCTCTTTATTCAATTATTTTTTCTGTGTCAACTTCCATGATCAAGACAAATGTGCTCTGGTGTTATATAATAACCTCATTTACCTTATTAAAGTGCAAACAAAGAGAAAAAGGTTGTTTTCTCACTGCACCACCTGCTTCCAAGTGCTATGTCCTGATTTGGAAGCTCTGACTAAAGTTACCAACTGCTCAGATTTGCACTTCTGCCTTTAAGCTGTCTATCCTTTCACCTTAGGCAAGCTGGTGCAAAGCTCATCAAGGCTGGTGGCTCTCCCTCTGCTTTCAAAGCTGCTCTTTCCCTCTCGATTCCAACACACACACACTGAGCAAAACAACAGCAGTGGGAAATGCAAAATCAGCCTCCACCAGACTGTCTTGCCTTTCCAAAAGACTTCAAACCAGGACAGATATGGGCTGAGCACTCCAGGGTTTTCAGGCATCTGGAACCAACAACTGGTGTTACTGTTGAATCATTCCAGCCAAGTGTAATACTCTGATGGCTGTGTAGAGATTTGTAGCTCTGAACCTGGAAAACGAAGTACAAAATTCACTGCTCTGGATAGGTAGAGAAACATTCCACCTACTTTGCTCACCTCTTGCGTTACCTCTCCCTGGACCTAAGAATAAAACTTCTTATATTAAGGCTAAGCCCAAGAGAACTTCTCACAGAGCAAACAGAGTCTCTAAAAGAAGCAACACTTCCCAAAGTTCTTCAGAAAATGCTCCACTATGGAGGATCAACCACTGAGGTGATTATCTACAAACAAAAAAAAGATCCCCGCAACCTTAAAATACCTTATTGTTTCAAAGGAACATAAACAAAGGCAATATCAAGAAAACAGTTTGGCTGCCCTCAACACAGGCAGGCTGTAAATCTACATACAAGCACTTACCAGATGTGTACTTTGTTATGAAAATAAAGGGAGAATAAGGCAAGCCATCAACAATACCTGCTTTCTTAATATGCTTCAAGAGACTAAAAAGAGAGGGCTCAGGGGAGAAGAGGGATTAAATACTTTGAAAACAAAATCAGTGTGTATTCTTCAAAGCTACAAAGGCTGCTTTAGCAATTACTTGCTGCTGCTTCTGTCCCTGAACTGGAAAGGCAGCATGAATTAGAGGCCTTTAATTCCCACAGGCAGTAACATCTCCAAAAAGAAGTGTGAGGTTGTCTCTAGCCCTCTGTCTCTCCTTTGTAGAATCCTAATAAAAGATCAGTGCCTTGTAGACACTTGTGAGGATGCAGAGACCAGCAACATGCAATAAAACCCAAGTCTGCACAGCCCTCACCACACACCACTACACCACTGCCACCAGTATGGTTCCACAGTGGGAACAAACAAAGCCACAAGTGAGCTGCTGGTTAAGATTAAACACACTCAAATGATGGAGCAGAGACAGGCTTTGGGCACAGCTTATCAGAAAATGCTGCCTCCTCTAATAGAGGAAAGTCACATCCGTTACTCAGTTCACAGTGAGAACTCATCCCGAATTCCTCACTGACCGTAACTTCTTACACATAACACTTTCTACCACGTTCACCTGGACAAATGTTTTCCTGTGCTGGTTGATAATAACAAACCTCTGTTATCCTCACTTTCCTCTGCTCCACTCTAGTGTGCTACATCAGCTCACTGCTCACAATACCTGACTGTGGCTTTTAGAGCTCCAAAGGCTCCCAGTTGCTACAATGTCTGTTGTATGTCACATCCCAAACTTCTACTACTGTGCACTTAACTATGGCACTCTGTAGTACTGTACTTAATGGACTACTAGATCATCCTCATTCCCTACTTTCTTCATGGGCTTCCAACAAAATTTCATGGTCAAATCTGCTGGTGTATTCAAGTCATTCCTTGGTTACCCTAGAGGCTTGCCTAGAGGCTATCCCAGAAAAATATCAGAATCAAATCCTCCAAGGAAAGAATAATAATAATAAAGAAAGATAATTGTATCACCTTGCCCTCCACAGATGAAACACATTCCTGTGAGTTTACCAGCTG